TTTGAGGAGCTCATGGATGCCTTTGAGGCTAGAGCTGCGGCGGATGATGGGCTTGCGAATGCGGCAACAGACGAGTTTGTGTGCGGCTGGAACGATAATCTGGAGGATCTGATATTTTGAATAATGGATGAGGTCTTATACCTCTAATGTCAGGTAGTTATACGGAATAGGTAGTAATAGTCTTAGAAGAAGACGAATGCATCTGATGCCCCCCCAATGCCATGAAACTCCACGCTATGCTTGTATGCTATAAAGGTGCCGCGAACGGCTAACATGAAAGAAAAAGAAAACAACACCCATACCACAATGGTGATACACGGAATCTACCTCCCATCTTATCAACAATTACCCGTCTAAACCTCAATATTCTCAAACGGATCCCGATCCGGCGGCAATCCCCTGTAAATAACACTGCCACTCGCATCCAACCGCGCATTCACACTCGTGATCCACACGCGCTTGGTAAACGCACTAGTACGCTGGATCTCGTCCTTAGCGACACCCAAGTCGTCGTGCGGAATCCAGACAGCGGGCTGAATAGCGCGGGTCGCTGGATGTTGGAAAGAGCGCTTGATGAGCTTTTGGCGGGCCTCGGGCTCAATGTCGGCGAGCTCGTCATCGACTTCGTCGAAAAGGTTGCCGGCGGGTAGGACTTGCGCTTCTGCGTCGCGGATGGGCTTTGCGACGTCGTCGAGACCCTTCTTGAGCGCGTTGGTCATAATGTCTAGAGGGTCCTTGCGCTTCTTGTGGTGGGACTGCGAGCGCGAACTGCGACGCGAGCGTTGTGAGCGGTCAGCCCAGCTTGAGTTGCGCGCACGATTGTCGGGTCGAGGTGACTGTCCGTAGCCGGCGGGTGGCATGTTACCATCCAGATTGCTGAGCTCGTATGATCCAGGGCCGTGGGCTGCCTCGCGTTCCTTCCTTTCCTCGAGGCGGTTTTGTTCGTCTAGGTGGGCTCGTTCGCGCTCCTCGGCTGTCCGCTGTGCGTCTTCCTGAGACATAAGACCTTGGTGTTCGTCCTCCCGTTCCCACTTGCTGGCCTGTGCCCGCTGCCACTCTTCGTCTCGCAGGACCGCCTCGTCTTCGAATGTGATTGGCAAGTACGTGAAAAGCGGCCCGAACGCTCTGTTCAGCACGACTTGGTAAAGCACAGTGAAGACCATAATGATAATCATGATAATAGCCTGAGGGAAACACGATTGCCTCCCCTGCTCGTCTTCCTGTAGGAAGAATAAACCGATCATGCAGAGCTCGAGGAAGTAGAGGCCAGTGAACAGCTGGTTGACTGCTTTGGGGAAGATAAGACCGTTGGTTTCGGCCTTGGCGTAGCTGACGTAGATCATCTGGTACCTGTAGGTAAACCAGAAGAGACTGAAGGTAATCAACATCATGATTAGGATCAAGGGCGCGACGACTGAGTAGATGAGACCTGGGCATCGTTAGTTTATGTAAACGTTTATCTCGATAGACAAACTTACCAATGGCGGCAAAGTTGGTATAGACCGGGATCATGGTACCCCAGTTGATACCCGGCCTTTGCAACACCCTTGAAACCTTCTCGCGCGGTGTGGTGTCCAAGAAGCGCAGGAAGATGATAACAACGACAGCACCAATTTGCAACAGAGTACCGGAACTGATACTAAGCGCTTGCAGAATCATGTAAGAGAAGAAGTAGTTGGCGGCCTTGGGGAGGTTCTGCGCCAATGTCTGGGGCACACTGAGTGGATCGTTGAGCAGATCGTCAATGGTCGAAGTGATACCGGTAGAGATGGAAACAACGAGGAACAGTTGGACAAATACGAAGGCGAAGTAGAAGTTCTGCACAAGCAACTCGCGTTCGCCAAATGTCGTCGTACCGGTAAGACCAGCCAGGAAGCGCAGGAGTAGGGGCAGAATAGCGAAGAGAATGGCCAAGAAGGCTGGTGGCAACACACCCTGAATCAAACTAACGACCCAGTCGGGAGCATCATTGATGAAACCAAGCCATGGCAGTGTTTCGGTCAGAGAGTCGACTTGGGACAGAGCTCCTGTAAAACTGACGGGAATACCCCAGAAGATGATAAGTCCGACGATGAGTAGAATGACTCCAAACATGCGTAGGTAGCGCTCCCACCACTTCATGGTCAAGTTGTCCCAGATTACGTAGTTGGGGTTAACCTCGACGGTTCGTGGGTTCATTTGCCGGGGAATGTGGTGACTCAGTGACTGACAGGCCATGTGTGCCGCAACCTGGTGGTTAAATTGAATAAAAGCCGAGTTCATCAAGGGGAAGCGCTCCGGGTGAGCCTGGTCGTCGGCAATCTCAGCGTTGAGGCGGGCAAGCTCCTTGCGGCAATGGTAGATGGTGTCCACCTTCTTGCCAATCAGAGGCAGCGACGGCCACCACGAGAAGTTCAAGATGGGCAGACGCATCGTTTCTCTGTCCTTTGGCTTCATGTATTTTCTCCAGAGAGCGTCCTCGCCATCCTCTTCCATCGACTCGTCGTACAAGCCTGATAGATCGTACTTGATCTTACTGGCATCCTTGACTTCTAATGGTAGCTCTTCTCCCTCTTTCACGAATGGACTTGGGCTTATGAAGTCACCCTGACCGACGTACATGGCCTTGAGCTTGTTGAGCGGGTGCTTCCATGCAGGCTGTACAGGCTTGTCTTCTTTGGTGCCCGTCTCGGCTGCGGGTGCTTTCAAGTTCGTCTGAGGGGAGTTGGGCTCTGTCACGGTACCTTCAGAATCGTACTTCTCTTTGGTGGCCAATGGAGTATGGGTGTCGCTGCTAGCGGCCCTTTGGTGGTAGTCGGCAGATGTGGGTGACGATGCTGGAACCTCATCGCTGCCGTCGAAACTTGGCTGTGCTTCCTCAGGGTTCCGCGCTTGGCCAGCTTGACGGGACTTTCCGCCGAAAACTCCTCGCATTCCACCATAGACGTTCTTGTTGAAGCGATCCACACCCTGGCCGACATCGCGGAAGCCTTTGCCGACAGCGTGCATGCCTTCTCCTAAAAAGGGCAATGGGTTCATGTTCACGCCGCGCTTGCGATCAGGTGAAGTCGACCGCGAAGAAGAGGATGATGATGATGCAGACTCTGCCAGGACCTTTTGGAGTTGTTGCTCGATCTCGTGGGGGTTACCGGCGTCCACACCTTGTTCGTGAGTCTCCTGGTTGATTGCGTGGTTTTGCATGGCCTCGTCGTGCTTCTTTTCCGCCTTGGACTTTTTCTTTCCAGCTTCCTTGGCGGCCTTCTCCTCCATCTTCTTGTGCTTTTTGGTGCATGTGATGATGAGATTTGTTTCGGCCGCTTCAAGGCTCCGTGCGATCTTGGTTCGGTCGTTGACCTTGTCCATAAGGTCGTCGTAGTTGCGATTGATCCAGATATCTTTGATGCCGCCGGGGAAGACATCGTAGAGGGCGTCGAGCGCGGGAACCGTGAGCCACTTCTCAGGAATGCTTTGCACGAGAATAGTGGTAGCAGATGCCCGGATGCGATGCTCGGGCCTGGTGAGAACAGTCTGCCTGAGGCGCACGAACTGCCTCAGCGCCAAGTAGAAATTGAAGCACACCCAGCATACAACGGATACGGCAATGATGCAGTGCGCCCACAGGCGGTGTCGCTTATTCGGGAAGGCGACATTGGGCCAGGCGAAGGAGTCCAAGCCCGAGACACCGGGCTCATCGCCCTTTCGGTTTATTGGTAGGAGGACAGGCAGGATAATGAGTGCCATGGGTATGAAGATGCGGAGCAGGAGCTGCAGGTACTGGAGGAAGAGGTAGCCATCGACACCGGCGACGCGGATGAGCTCCTTGTCGCTGATGGTGAAGACATTGCGGAATGAGTCGATGGCGGTCGTGGGCGCTGCGATGCGCTTGGCTACGGGAACGAAGGCGGTCTTGTAGTAGCTGGCAATGGTTAGCACATGGGGGGTATGTAGGCAGGGAAGCGGCGTCGCATACTATATCTTGTGGAACAGACTCTGTCGCGCAGCAGCTTTGTCGGCCTGGTCTGCATCATCTACGGTCTTCTTCTTGGTGACTCCCTTGTGCAGCTTCCAGTTGCCACTCAGAATCAAGAAAACAACAATCTGGATGCCGAAGATGGCGGCGGCAGTGGACAGCGACGCGGCGAAGTTCTCGATGCTCTGGTTCCGCCGCGACTCTGGCGATGGCTTGTTGGGGTCGGACATGGCTCAGAGCGGTGCAGGTCGCGTATGCGGTCAAGTTGTGAATCGGAACCCCTGTCTTAAGCGCAGATGGCCATGGAAGAAGGGCAGGGAGGAGCAGCCGCTGTTGTTTGCGGTTGCAGATAAATTATTAGGGCAGTATAGTCGTACAGAGGGTGTGAATGAGAACGTCAAAGAGAGGGTTCATTATGAACTTGGAGGTGACTGGCATGGCGCACACGGCGACGTGTTTCAACCCTCGCATTCCCTGATACGCGGTCAGTCGGGGGCTTGGCGGCGTCACTGGCGCTGGTGGGCGCGCTACTTTGCCAACCGCCCGCCGTTTGAGCCAAACAACCGCTGGCCTGGTCTTTAATCTGAAACTACAGACGGCCGTTTGGCCTAGGCCCTTTCTCTTTGAGGCTGACAGCGACACAGTGATTTTGCTGCGCGCAGCAGAACAACACTGCTTTCACGATGGCATCTGTTGTACGACCCGTCTCTGTGGGTAAGGAGCATTAAGATTGTGGCACATGCATGGACCCGATCTGAGCATCCTCCCCGTACTCGATGACGTTCTGCTACCAGGAATCCGCTCCGTATTGCCGTATTAGACTGCGCACGCGCCAGCCTGTTCCCACCTTCTATGAAGAGCTACGCGCCAGCGCCACACTGAGGCGCACGCCGAGCCCTTGACTCAATTGGCCGAACTTTCAACACTCACGCCACATGTGCAGATCACACAAGCCCACAGCTTGCACTATTCTGAAGACTTCTGGTGTTCGTCTTGACACTTGCGCCTTTTCTTTTATCTTAGTGTGTGTACATCTGTATTCGACTATTCCTCAAGGCGTGACCGCGTTACCCAACAACCTCCCAATCTCCTCCGCAATCGCCAACGTCTTCTCCTCGCTCAACTTCTTCCCAATCACCTGAACAGCAACCGGAGCGCCGTGGTACGCATCAGGATCGTATTCCGCCTGAACACTTGCATCCAACTCATTCAACGGCTTGTAATCCGCCCGCTTGCCATCGACCTTGCTATCCGCAAAAGTGACAGGAACGACGACGCTTGTAAAGTCCAGCAAGTTGATGGCAGACGCATAGCCATAGTACTTGAACTGGTTGTGTCGGATGGCAGCTGTTGGACTGATGGGGCCAACTATACAGTCGAGCTCGCATCCAAGCTCAGCCTCGACCTCTCGCCACTTGGAGAGATATTGCATCTGGTAGTCCCACTTCTGCAGATGGATGTCCCATACATCGTTCAAGTCGGCTTTTTTGATATCCGGGTTGAGGAGTTCTTTGATGTTGGGGATTGGCGGCTCCCCGGAAGCTTTGATGTCCCTCATCACGTCCTGTTAAAACAGTTAGCCACTTTCACATACCCTTACGAAACTGCGTAAGACCAATCGCGGGATCTTACCGTGCTGCCATCTGCGCCATAAATCTTATTAGCGAGATCATGGGCAAAGTCGTGCTTGTATGGGGTCCACGGCACGACTTTGTGTTTGTTCTGCTTCAAGACATCAACTACCTGCTCAATCCCGCGCAGTACCGGAGGATGTGGGAGAACCTGTAATTTTAGCGAACGCGTTTACGCTATGGTTCTACCAGACTCACGTTGCCGTCACAATTATAGTATCCGATGGTAAGGCCAGATGAACCCAGCTTTGCTTTGACAGCATCCTCCAGGTCAGATCGCCAAGGCATTGGGACGACTTTAGAGTCGTAGTTCCAAGGCTCTTGTTGGAGTACCGAAGTTAGGAAGAGCCTCAGGTCTGGATAGTCAGTCTATCCGTAGACATCAGTTTACCTCAATCCACTTACCGGCTGCCGAGTGCGCAATAGGTCCAACGACACTGTGAATAGTCTCCTGTCCCTCCATACTATTCGCCATCTTCGCATACGGCATACGCCCATGACTCGGACGAATGCCATATAAGAAATTGAAAGCCGATGGAATTCTGATGGAGCCGCCAATGTCGGTGCCAACACCAATAACGCCTCCACGAATGCCGATCATAGCTCCTTCACCACCTGAACTTCCACCGCATGACCAGTTCTTGTTGCGTGGGTTTGTCGTTCTGCCGATGATGTTGTTGACTGTTTCGCAGACCATCAATGTTTGCGGGACACTTGTCTTGACGTAAAAGACGGCACCGGCCTTGCGGAGAAGTGCCGTGAGGACTGAGTCTTCTTCGTCATACTTTCCTAGCCAAGAGACGTAACCCATTGATGTCTCTTTTCCCTGATTGAGTCGTGTCAGTCCTAAGTCAAGTGTGCTTATGAGGGTATAGTTGTACACAGACTAGGAAGGACGCGTCATACCTTGATCCGCAGTTGATCTTTCAGTGAGATGGGAAGACCATGCAAAGGACCAATGGGCTTGTTGTGCTTAGCATAATACTCATCGAGACCACGGGCCTGTGCAAGAGCCTCTTCGGGGAAGAACTCATGTACACAGTTCGTCTATAGCCACTCGTTAGTCGATGCATCTGTACCTGCCATAAATCCCAATCTCACCAGTTGTTGTGCTATCGCAGCTCTTTTACAAAATGCAAGCGTTACATCAGCCGATTTCAGCTTTCCCCGTGCCAATTGTGCGACGAGATCAGTCGCCGCTGATTCGGTAATCTCGATTTCTTTTGCAGAAAGGAGGCCTGATTCTTTTGGATATGCAAACACATTGTTGTCGCTCGGAGGTGTTCGGATCAACCAGTCTGAGGGGATAGATTCGGCAATGCGCTTTCTTTTGTCGGCAGCAAGCTGCTCCCAGTTAGAACCCATTGTCGATGTGCGTACGCTATTTGGGACGATGACAGAAGTTTGGTATGAAACACAGTCTGTCTGATGCTCAAAGAGACGCCTGTACCGATACTGGCGCCGGACTAAAGGGCGATGATAACGCTCATACGTACTGCGTTTATCAGGATAGTCGCTTGCACCTACCGCATCAGGACTCAACCCCACCTTACGTGCGGAGCATTTCCGACCACACGGCTCGGTATTTCGCTTCTCGACATCTACGATGCTAGTTGTACTCAGGTCTCGTAGACCCGGTTGAGCTGTCAGATTTGCAGCGATAAAGCTTCGATAATCCCCGGTCAGTAGATGAGAAAGGGCGCCGTACAACGTGCCGCTTTGTACTAACAAGCCTGCATGACGTCACTTGGATTACACCCAGGCAAGCTCCATCGGTTGCAGTGCTGAGTACACAACGCGATTTAGGCTGTCGCCATAGCATACTAAATGCTCCCAACTTATCTAAACTTCTTAGAATAGAAAGTATTCCCAACGTAGATATGTTTACCGTACTACAGCTGTACACTCGACCGGCAAAGAGCGGATAGACACGCTTCGTCCTTTCGTCTTCACGCTCTAGCCCTCAAGTATTCCGTATCATCAAACAATCTTTGGCTAGGTCTTTTGGATACACGCCGTAGACGCCATGTCATTCTTTCCACGCCCTATAACGCAACGAGCATGTCTACGTATAGAGAGCCCAATACACAGAAGAGACCTTAAATCCTCTCAAACGAACTTACGTCCTAAGGCCATCCATAATTAACCAAACTGACATTGTCAAGACTTCAACATTTCCAAGTTAACAATATCAACAACCTCTAGTCTACCCACAATGTACCTCCGCGCCGTTCATGCTGAGGCAGATGTTGCGAAGCTGCATCAGTTTATCCGCGCAAACCCATTAGGCATCTTCACCACAGCCATCGAATCCAAATCATTCCCCTTCCTCCAATCAAGCCACATCCCCTGGGTCCTAGACACCGAAGAACCCAAAGCCGACTCAACCCATCTCGGCGTCCTGCGCGGCCACATCGCCCGCGCCAACCCCCAAGCCAAAGTCCTAATCGAACACCTCAAATCGCAAACCAACTCCGACACAGACCAGCCAGTCCAGACCCTCTCACGCGACATCATGATCCTCTTCAACGGCCCAGCCCACCACTACGTCACGCCGAAATTCTACACCGAGACGAAGCCCGCGACCGGAAAAGTAGTGCCAACGTGGAACTACTCCGCCGTCCAAGTCTACGGCCGAGCCACCATTTTTCACGACACAAAAGCCGTTGCCACAGGCACTTTCCTCGATAAACAGATCCGAGATCTGTCGCTGCAGTCCGAAAAAGGGATTATGGGCTACGAGAAGCCATGGGAGGTTGACGATGCGCCGTCGAGCTATATTGAGATATTGAAGAAGGCGATTATTGGGGTGCAGATTGAGATAACGGATTTGGGGGGAAAGTGGAAGATGAGCCAGGAGATGGGGGTTGGGGATCAGAAGGGTGTGGTTGAGGGGTTCAAGAAGATGGGGTCGGATTTGGGAGATGAAATGGCGAGGACGGTGGAGGAGAGGGGGAAGGTGGGAGGTGGGTCTTAGGTACGTAGGTATATCAACGAGTAGCTTATAATAGAGAAGGGTGGTTTGTTGAGCTGCTGGAAGCGGGTGGAAGCGCCTGGGCTGTATCATGAGCTTCGCGATACCTACTGGTTGTAAACGTTGTATGCTAATGTATGAGGTGATAAACCTCGGGTATCATATCCAAACGCCAAAGTGTACTCCAAACACCAAACTGAGTAAGGTCGGCCAATATTACCAACTCGCCAGCACCGCATCCACTTTCCTTCTCCCTTCATTGTCCAGCCCCTCCATATCAACATCCTCTTCATCCTCCGCCGTGGACGGTACCTGCACATCCCCAAACTTGTCTTCCACACGCGCCGCAACCCGTATCGCTAGCGTGCGCGTCTTTGCCAGCTCCGACGCAAGCGGCGCATCCTTCCACACCAGATTTGGTTGTATATTCTCTTTGGGGTTGCGGTACGGTTCTAACAGCGAAAGCAGTGTACGATACGTATCGAGCCGGTTCTGAAGTGTCTGCCGGTGTGCAGACAGTTCTTGGAGGCGGGATACGGAGGAGAGGTATTCGTCTTGAGTTGTTTCTGCGTCGTGGTCGGGCCATGTGGTGGGGAGCTTTGCGATGTTCTCGTCGAGGGTCAGGTCATCGTTTTGGTAGAGCGTGTGCGCGTCATTTTCGGGGGCGGAGGAGGAAGTGTGCGCGTCTTCGTTGTCGTCGTCGGCGTGTTGCGCTCCCGAGTCCCAGTATAGGATGTCTATTTGCTCGACGACGTGCTCGATCATTTGGCGGCTGTAGACTTTTCGGGAGTGTTGTTTTAGGTCGCGGTTGACTGCATGGCGTTAGTGCTGGCTCGATGAGCATCATGTGTGAGGCCACTGCATACCTTTATCAAGCACGCCTTTCATGACACTGAGTTCAATGCCACCATCTTGCGCAAGAGTGCGTAACCGTTCTGATGGCGGTATTGGACGCGATAGAATGTGTTTCCTGGTCTGGAGAAATCTTTGCTTCTGTTCAACGACAGTGCCTTGTTTCGACCTCGCATTTGGCACGCGTCGATCCATTGTGAGAGTGTGGGGTGGGTTTGCGATGACCATCATCGCGGACATGTGCATTGGATCGCGGGGACTAGCGTGACGCGTGAAAATCGGACGTTACCCCATCGAGATAGCGCGCTCATCAAATCTCACCTAGCCCTGGAGGTACCTTGACCCATCCCATCTCCATCACAGCCACAATGTTGCTCCTCGTACTCATACTCGCCCTGCTGATCATTGCACCTGCGTTGACCTACTATCGTAAAACTTATGTTTTCTACACAACCGCCAAGGACAAGGACTCGTTGGGGAAATTACCGCCACAGATTCCCTACTTTGTTCCAATAGCTTCCCAATATCTCGGTTTCGTTCTCAACGGACAGCAGAAGTACTTCGCAAAGCTGATGTAAATTCCATTGTGTGGTAGTGATTGGAAGAGTACTGACACATCTTAGTGCGGAATATGGAGATTTCGCGCCGTTCCTCGTCTTGGATTTCGCCGTTCTTCGAGACCCGGAACATACGAAGAAGGCCATGCAAGCATGTAGGGGAGCCGTCATCAGGAGGAATATGCACGAAGTTATTCTAGGCTATCGCAGAGACATCAAGAAGAAGTATAAGGATGCCGCGGTCAACGCGCAAGATTTTTTGATAACTCAGCGTGGCGTGACAACGCGTAAGTATCTGGAAGGCAGCTCGCTGGCCACCATGACCAACCTGTATACCGATATCCTATCGCGTAACATGAACGATAAGATGTTTCAAGTCAGCAGCTGGACCCAGATAGAAGATGTCTGGTCGTTCCTCCAGCAAGTCCTTACAAGGTGCTCTTTGGAATTGCTCTTTGGCTCCGGCATCCTCAAACAGTATCCTGGCCTCATAAAAGACTACTGGAAGTTCGAAGACGCTATCTCAGACTACTTATCAGTACAATCTTTGTTTAGACCCGCACCTTACAAAGAGCCGCTCGAACGGCTATGGCAGGGCGTGGAAAAGTGGCTGAAAGTCAATCACAGTGGCACCGAGTTCGCAAAGACTGGATCCGATGACGCAGATCTGGACGAGTATAAGGGTTCGAAGTTCATCCAAGAACTTGATGACACGATTGCGAGCAAACAGCTACCTTTCGAGGCAAGAATCGCGGAGATGTTAGACGTAATGCACTAGTAGGTGTGCCCCGTGAAACTATATTACCGTGGCTCGTACAGTTGTGCTGACATGATTATAGCTCGAATATGGAATTGATCCCTTGCGCTATTTGGACTACGATCGAATTGCTACGCAAACCATACCTAGCCGAGCAGATCACTGCGATGGTCTCCGCAAGCAAGTCAGCAAAAGCGGCCGCATATGATGTGAATGGGATTCTAGCTAGGCCCCTCTTCCAGTCTCTACAGGCAGAGGTCAGCCGTCTCCGTGTGGCAAGGTATAAGATATATACCATAACAGCTGATGTTGCCCTTGACAGCGAGTGGACGCTTCCCAAAAATTGCAATGCAATTGCGTTCTCGCGAGATTTCGCACTGAACACGAAAGTGTGGGCAAAGGCGCGGCCACGCACTATCGAAAAGCCATTAGAGGAGTTCTGGGCTGAACGCTTCCTAGTCTCTGAGAAAGACACTTCACAGGCACAGGGTCAGCGAAAGAGCCGCGGTAGCATGAATGAGGCGAGATTCGACGCGCAAGATCTCGAGCTGCTGGCCCCTACATTCGGTGACAAGATGGCGTTCGACCTTCCTAGCCGTTATTTCCGAGCCATGCAAGCAGCGACTATGGCTGTTCTATTCAACGAGTTCGAGATACAGCTATGCGATCCGGATTTGATCGATGCAGCGATGCCTGAGTTGCGGGAGTCGGCTTTTGGACTGGTGCGTCCGAAGGAGAAAATAGCCGTGCGCATACGCAAACGCAAAGCTGGCAAGGAGCAGTGAGGGAGGGCCCTTCCAATTTCGGATGTGGCGCAGTCTTGCTGTGTGATTGTCGTGTAACCCACAAAATTTTTATTTACCGTCCTTCCGACCACGCACGTTAAGCACTTTGTGTGTCCTCCTTGCCTCCTCAGACACTTACGCGAGCACAACGACTGTCGACTGGCCTCAAGTATGGAGCTTGGTCTACTCAGCATAGTCAAAGGCTTGTTCGCAGTCGCCTTGACGTACTGGTCCAGCAAGATTATCTACAATGTCTTCTTTCACCCATTGGCTCGCTTTCCCGGTCCGTGGTGGGCGACGGCGTCATATCTGGCCGAGTTCTACTACGATGTTCTGCAAGGAGGGCAGTATCTCAAAAAGGTCATCCAAATGCATGAGAAATATGGTAGGTACTAGCGACGAGACGCAATTGATATAAAAAGCATTGGCTGATAGCGCGC